GAAAGTAAAGGCGGCTGGACAGGGATCCGGACAAAAGGCAGACAAGGCAAAAGGCCGACTTCCAAAAGGCCTTTTGTCCATGTCGGCCTTTTGTCTTGTCGGCCTTTTGGATTTCGGCCTTTTGTCCTACACCCGGCTGGATATAGTGCTAACTATAATATCCCTTCATAAGCCGAGGTCACAGAAACAGGTGAGCTCTACTTCACTTGTCCCATGGACCGTCGGGTTTAGAAGGGGAATTCACTTAAAGTAGAGTTCACCCGTTTCAGTGACTTCAACATGTGAAGGTGTAGTGTGGTCAGCCCTATACAATTCGACCCCCGCCGTTTAACAAAAGTATGTTTTAAAACCTGAAAAACAAAACCTGTTTTCACAACACATTTTGCATGCTAGCAAATGCTGTGTTTATTTAATTTTAAAATTGTGAAATATTTGCACCGTGAAATTATACAGAGCTACAGGAACTTATAATCAAAGGGTGAGTAATCGTTGTTTGGATGAAAGACCAGACACAGTTATCCGTAGACACAGTAGTAGAATCGATTCTTGAAAGTAGTATTGCGATATTTACATTGAACTTAGTGACCTCTAATAATATGTTCACTAGTATCGATTCCTTACACCGGCGCTGCGATATTTTGACGCTATGTGAAACATGACGACTACAGAAACCGCTAGCAGGAATCGATTCTTTGAAACAGGGCTACGATACATACGTGAATCTCGTAGGTGTACAATAATAATTGTAGTATCGATTGTTTAAAGACAGTGGATCAATATTTACGTAAAACAGGCGACGTATAAAAACAAGACAGCCAGTGGTTTGTTACAATACCTGGATTTTAAAAATGCGCAAACGAAAAAATGCGCAAACAGACTAAATGCGCAAATACAATTAAAATTTGTTAACACACTTTAATTTTGTCATATTTCATGTAAAATGTTTTTATCATGCTACAGTGTACATGTGGTCCTTCTTTGTTTATGTCTATCGATGCTTGATTTAAGAAAACAAAAATGCTTCACGCACTTTTTTGTGCGCAGTTTTCCGTTGCGCAGTTTTCCTTTGCGCAGCAAACAAAAAATGTCAGGTGTTCTATATATACCTAGAATATATATCTGGATAAAATATCTGAGACAAAATGTCTTAAAATATACTTGGACAAAATTTTTAAAAATAAATAATATCGCATATGAGTTTTTACACAAAACTGAGACGGCTTTGCGTAGTGCTGACCACAATATCACCTTGTAAGCCGAGGTTATTAAAACAGATGAACTCTACTTCACCTGCTCCATGTGTCTTGGGCGCAAACGGAAAAAAAAGACGATGATGATTTCTAAAAAATCGTGACAAGTTCCCACTCTTGTGTTAAGATCACTATATCACGTGATGGCTGCTACTAAAAATCAACATCTCATGTATGTATGGATCTCAGCCCTGGCAAAAACTGATTAGCACCTAATAGCTGTAAGCTAGAAAAGTGACGTACTCTACCGTGTATATGTATAATATGTATATAGCTGTAAGCTATACGACCACTGAAGCGAGTTTTATTGCTGTAATATCTCCAAAATGTTCGATTATCTCGTCGTAAAATGTTCGTCATCTCGAGAAAGTCTGTCGCGTGATAGAAATTCATCAGCTTCCGGTTTATCTAGCGCCGCCATGTTTGACATATATTAGATCCTAGTACGTCGCGCGAATCGCTGCTGTGTCTGTGGTGGGTGCTCTCACAGAGGTGTAGTGTGCCTTGTGTGTATCTTGTGTGTGTGTGTTGTGTGTATGTCTTGTGTGTGAGTCTTGTGTGTGTCTTGTGTGTGGTTTGTGTTATTGTGTCTTGTGTGTGTCTTGTGTGTGTCTTGTGTGTGTGTGTCTTGTGTATTATTGTGTGTGTCTTGCGTGTGTGTGTGTGTGTGTATGTCTGACAACTCTACTGCATTCGTCTAACACACTCAGTGTTTCTTTTAGACATTAATCATTGGGGCTGGTGAAGGCTTTTGAAACTTTCGGGAGGGGGGCGAGGGGTGGTCCACTTAAGTTGTGGGGGGGGGGGGAGGGGGGGGGGGGTATGCGCAGGCTAAAGTATATATTCTGTACAGAAATTATACACTTTTGAAAAATTCACCCGGGGGTGTCATTTCCTCCCCCCCCCCTACCACGAAATATTTTTTTTCTACTATCCTTCCGATCTAGAATTTAGACCTGATTGTGTCCTTCAAGTTGACAAACAAATATCTGACACGCTTTTCTATAGTCTTACCACTGTTCATTCCCTTCACACCCCCACTTAATGTCCCGCCTACGGCTCCACACTCCCCAACCCAGCTTCTCAATTTTCACCCCCTCCCACCTATTTTCCTCCCTCCCCCTGTATCCCTCTCAAATTCCCTCACGCTTCCTCATCCTCTTCTTCCTACCTCATTTTCCTTCCTCTCACCTCTCTCTCTCTTACCTCACCCAGGCCTGCATTTATTCTTACTCCTACCTCACTTTACACCCCCTACCTCATTTTCCTTCCTCTCACCTCACTCTCCTACCTCACCCATGCCTCCATATATTCATACTCCAACATCATTTTACACCCTCCTACCTCATTTTACAACCTCCTACCTCATTTTACACCCTCCTACCTCATTTTACACCCTCCTACCTCAATCTCATATCTCACTCACTCCCAGTATATTATATTTATCCTCCCCCACACGCACAAATATCAACAAAACAGGAAACCGAATTTATAAAAAATAATAAACGTCATACAACCCCAAAATCTTTAATTATTCAACAGCATGTGAGTATATCGCTGATATTTTGTCGGTTTGTGGACGCGTCCTTCCCCTAGCGTAAAACCCGGATATGGAAACATTGCCTCCGGGCGGTAGTATGAGGAAGTGACGTACATGTTGAATGAAGCTATAAATAAAACACGCGTCATTAAGGGGCGAGTATCGTGTGAAACACCGGGAAGTCCTGTTGATGGAGGGGTGTGAGGGGGGGAAGGGTAGATTGTTGGGGTTTGATGGACGCAGGCTGGTCAATACATTATTAGGTCGATGTGTCTATGTTTTGGTAATAACGCCGAAATGAGTATGGTTGTATTCAGTGGTGCGGTTGAAAGTTGGGTTAAGGTTAGGATTATGGTTTAATTTAGACCAATCCAATAATTCCTTCTTTTTCGCAAATTCAACTCGCAATAGAGTATAGGACCTTTACAATATTATCTATCGCATGTTTTTCTGGCATTGGAGTAATTCATAGTGGTGATCGTTTTTCTAATGGTAGCACAGTTTGGATTAGGATTAGGGTAAAGATTAGTTTTATTGTCTAGTTACGATTCTAGAGCATCCTCATTTTTCTTAAGGCGTTATCAGAGGCGTAGCGACCCTTCCCGGCGCCCGGGGACATACTTTCAATTTGGCGCCCCCCTCGGGAGCAAATTTTCGATTTGCACCCCCCCCCCCTCGAACTTTTCATTTGCACCCCCCCTCGAACTTTTCATTTGCACCCCCCCCCCCTCAAACTTTCGATTTGCACCCCCCCCCCTCGAACTTTTCATTTGCACCCTCCCTCAAACTTTCACTTTGGCGCCCCCCCATATGTCCCCCCCCCCGCCCCCCCTCGCTACGCCTCTGGGCGTTATACAATGTATTCTTCACCTCCCACCTTCATAATCCGCCCCCTCACACACACTTACCCCCATCATTCAAGGGGGCGTTAAAAGGGTTCAAGCTACGCCAGTCTCTCAATGTCTCGGAATGTAACGCGAGTCTAAGGTAACAAATATCGTGACGTTTGAGGCGAAACGTCATTTGTTATCTGAGCTAGTTGTCTCGGGTTTAAAGCGTATCACCCACGTTTCATATTAGAAGATAATAGATTCTTCTTCGTGCTAGATTTACCTCCCTTTGTGTGGATTATCGGTCTTGAGAGACGATAGAAAAATGATAGAAATCAAGATAAAAAATATTTCAATAAAAATATAAAAAGGTAGGCCTATATAAGTGGTTATCCTAATTATCCTATAATGACGTAACAAATATCTAAGTAATGTGAGGTGAAGTTCCCCTTTCAGACCTAACGATTCGTAAGGCCGGTGAAGTAGAGTTCACATGTTTCTGTATCCTCGGAATATGAACGAATAGTGTGGTCAGCACTATGCTAATATACTTTTACTTCATCTAACATGAGCCTGGTACCCGTTAGAGCTGGGTGGGCTCAAGAAAGTTCTACGGATTCGAACACGATACTTTCGGAGTAGCATTCGTACGTTCTACCACCCGACCACGCTGCTCCATAACATTAGGTACGATGGTAGATATGCGGGATGTTATTGTGGTATATTGAAGTGGTTGTGCTGGTAGTTTGGGTGTTGTTGTGGTCTTAATTGGCAGGGTCCAGCGTGCTCATCGATTTGCTATTTGTGAAAGGTCCTGTATTAAATTTTCATGATCTCATCAACACTTTCATATTCACATCCAAAATCCATTCCATATTCACACACAATCACATATTTCATCACATACACAATTACTTATATCATTACATACACAATCACACACACAATCACATACATCATTACATATACAATTAAATGCGTATTAACATACGCAATCACATACACAATCACATACACCATCGCATACATAATCAAGTGCATAATAATATATACAATCACATACGCAATCACATACACAATCACATACACAATCGCTATACAATCTGATGCACAATCACATACAAATCTAATACAAAATCACATACAAAATCACATACACAATCACACACAATCACATACACAATCACATACACAATCACAAACACAATTGCTATACAATCTGATACACAATCACATACAAAACAGCATACACAATCGCATACACAATCACATACACAGGCGAGATTAATACAACAAATAACACTTAAATTATTACTCTTAACTTGAAGCCAACATTGATAAACGAAAGTTTAAATTAAATTTTCTTTCTCCTGCCAACAGGCGCCGTGATGGGTACCATCAAAGACTGCACAGCCTCGCAGAAATGTCCAGAGCAGCTGGTAAACCATCTGACCAGCATCAGTGATAAGCTGTCTTTCTACGGAGACTCGGCTTTAAGTTATATCGAGGTAAAAATCAACCTTTTGTGTTTTGTTAAACTTTTATCAACTTTTTATCAACTTTTTGGTGCGCGGACCTTTGACCACAGGTGCTTTGACCATAGGGGGTTTGACCATAGGGGGTTTGACCACAGCGGAGCTTTGACCATAGGGGCTTTGACCATAGGGGGTTTGACCACAGCGGGCCTTTGACCATAGCGGTGCTTTGACCATAGGTGGTTTGATCATAGGGGGTTTGACCACATGTGTTTTCTCAGCAGAGGGTCTTTGATCACAGGTGGTCTATCAACGGGTGTTTGATCACAAGCGCTGTGTCCGGCTTTGATCATAGGTGTGATACAATTAACACGATTTTATACATGTTTCCTGAGAGTACGTTAATAGAAATTAACATGTATTTAAAAAAGCCAAGAACTATATTTTAGTCTCCACAGACTGGTGCTAGACCTCATAGATTTATTTGAAATATAAATGAAACACAAATAATGCGACATATAACAAGTTTCACAAATAAATAATGTAGAAGTACTTGAAAATATATAGCATGTATAAAGGATAAAAAATGATACAAAACTTGCCAAAAATATAGTCAAAGATGTAATACATAAAATTGTTTACTAAATGACAGATGTGCTATAGCACGCAAATATGTCAGTACATCTGTTTGACCATTATGTCGAAATTTAAAATATAATTTAGCAACTTTTAAAATAAATCCTTACCATATATGGACAGCATTGGACAAAACACCTGAGATCAAAGACCCTATGTGGACAAAACACCTATGATCAAAGCCGGACACAGCGCTTGTGATCAAACACCAGTTGATAGACCACCTGTGATCAAAGACCATCTGTTGAGAAAACACCTGTGGTCAAACCCCCTATGGTCAAACCCCCTATGATCAAACCCCCTATGGTCAAAGCACCGCTATGGTCAAAGCCCCGCTGTGGTCAAACCCCCTATGGTCAAAGCCCCTATGGTCAAAGCTCCGCTGTGGTCAAACCCCCTATGGTCAAACCCCCTATGGTCAAAGCACCTGTGGTCAAAGGTCCTAGGACCAACTTTTTATTAGCTTCTGATCACTCTTTTAGCTACACTTTATTAACTTTTTATCAACTTTTTATCAGTTTTTTATCATTTTATATTAGCCTATAATCACTCTTTTATCAACACTTTATTAACTTTTATCGAACTTTTGTCATTGTTTTTCCTTATTTTATAAACATTTTATCTGCGTTTTTATCATTATCCTCATTTTATAAACATTTTATTAACGTTTTTGTCATTTTTTCCGCATTTTTATAAACATTTTATTAACGTTTTTGTCATTTTTTCCCCTCATTTTATAAACATTTTATCAACGTTTATCAAGCCATTATATCAATATTGTATCACCCTTTGATCAGTATTTGATTATTTTTTTTATCACATTTTACCAACCTTTTATCAAACTGATAAATCTGAATAAACACAAACCATTTATTTCTAACACATCAAGGAAACAATCAACATTTAACAGGTTACACTTATGTAAAACTCATCCTATTCTTTAAGTTAGACGAAAGGCAATGAAAAATTAAATTAACTTACAACACACAATCTTCGTAAAAGAAATTGGATCTTATATTTATGTCAGCCCGAAGTAAAAATGGAACAAAAATCAACATTGAATAACAGCATCATATTTTTTAAAGTGTACGTTTTCAATACCTCCCATCTCCACCGTTAAGAGACCGGGTGAAAGGGGGGTGGGGGGGGGCAGTTGTAACTTACCTATCAACACAATGCAAAGGGTGACACAAAAATAAAAATTACAAATAATCTTACTGAGAAAATTTTGCTTGTGCAGATGGATCAAATAAGTAATTATGATAAGATTGCAAATGTAATACACACACACACACACACATATATACATATTTATAATTATATAATATACATATTTATACGTAAATGATTGTATATATTTTATATAATTACAAAATGTATATATAATATAGGTGTATATACTTTATATATATATATATATATATATATATATATATATATATATATATATATATATATATATATATATATATATATATATATGCCTATATATTTAAACATATTTATATAAACATATATATATATATATATATATATATATATATATATATATATATATATATATATATATATATATATATATATATATATATGTAACGAGCGAACAGTTACCCTGCTCGCAACGCCACATGTTACGAGACTATTTGCCTGTAGTGCCAAATGTAACGAGTTTAACCACTCATGCTACACAACATCGACTACAGTAGAAATACTCGAAGATGCAGGTTCGCTATTGATCCTTTTATTACATGAATCAAGAAATGCTTCAATATAACACCATGAATCAACAGGAATGCTTCACAATAATAGTCTGAATCAACTGACCCCTAACAGTCCTCACTAGGCTTCATATAACTGAATCCACATGTCTATTGTCCTTCTTAACACAATATAACCAACTTGATATGTCACACAGACTGACTGATCTAAAGCGAGCGATGAAGAGAGCGGGCGATCAAAAAGGGAAGAGCAGCGAGTTCAGCCGTCCCCTCCTATTTATCCCTTGTATTCGTACTCGTATTCGTACTTGTATTCCTCCGTAATCGATACTTGTACTCGATGTCTCCGACTACTAGTTGCGCAGTTCTAACGTACAGTCCGTTTAATAAAACATCTGCGTCCTATCAATCAAAGTTGACAGGCCGTCTGAATCCCCTCGTACCGTTTCCCAAAATAGCACGCGTTGGCTTTGAGATTGTTATCATTCCGATCTAATAAGCCACCTGCTATCAGTTGCATCAGACTGTAATACTGCGTCTCGGCTTATCGTTCGTTATCAGTTGCATCAGATTTGTAACTAGTAGCTAGGCCTACCCTAGTTACATCCACCCCTTCCTTTTTTTGTGTGTTTTCAACCACAAACAACGCCTGGCAGGTGCACTCCTCCAAAGTCAATCGCACAATCGTAAAAAAATTTTATTGTTCCACTCACTGTCCACGTCGTCCCATTCGTATACGATTGACAGTTATACCTATTTCACATATCAACTGTGTCTACATCATCTTCCTGAGACACAAAACAGTTCTAGAATTCACATCCACCCTTTTCGTTTGGTGCCTTCACCAGTTCACTTTTATAGCTTTTTGAACCGTCTGTTCTCATACCAGCGCGACCATGAAAGAATTGATGGTTGCTGACAAAAAATTTCGTCTTCCTTCTGTTCCTCAAACTTCTCCGCGGACCACTTATCTGATGGTCTACTGTCTCTCTGCTTCTGGAAGGAACGGGATCCTCTTTGTTGCCGTTATCCTCCACTTGTGTATCGCGGTTGTTCTGTTGATGGTGATATGGTTCCGGGATGGGTATGTGAATTTCCGTTATAGTTTCCGGTTCCCTAATTGTCTTAGGTTTCTCTGTGTGTAACTGCTCTTCCTGCCTATTCCAATATTTCTTTAATTGAGCAATATTCGCCCACCGATCCGGTTTGGCGTGATCGATGGGTCTTATCTTAAAGGGGCCACCTGCTACTTTAGGCATCTCCACGACTTGCCATATCTCCTGTCCCCAGAGATCGTGGATTTTGTTTCTGCCTAACGGGTGGCTACGCAGTAATACCCTGTCGTTCAGTTTGAGTGGCGGGTCCTTTGTCTGTACCGGCGGTTCCCTTCGCCGTGCTTCATGTTCTAGTCTTTCCTGTACTACCCTGTACATTTCTCTAATTCTTTTCATATGTTCATTCACATATTCCAGTGCGGTGTATGAGCCAGTCATACTCTCCCTTTTTCCTAGGAACAAATCAAGAGGGAGTCGAGCCTCCCGTCCGAACAGCAACATGTGTGGCGCAAAGCCGGTTGTGGCATGGGGGGTGCAGTTGTATAGATATACCAACTCTGGGAGAAAATCAGGCCAACGTTTTTTCTGTTCAGGTTCTAGGGTACGCAGCAAATCATGCATGCTACGGTTGAACCGTTCACACTGTCCGTTTCCTTTCGGATTAAATGTGGTTGTTCTAGATTTGTTGATCCCGTAGTGGCTGCACAGTTGGTTAATTACTTCTGACTCGAAAGCCCTTCCTTGGTCAGAGTGTAATTGTCTTGGTATGCCATATTTGATGAACCAATGTTCTATTAAGACCTTTGCCACTGTTTTGGCAGTCTGATCTCGTGTGGGCACCGCCACAGTCCATTTGGTGAAAACATCAGTCATTACCAACACATGTTCCGTCCCATCCGATGATTGCTCCAACGACGTAAAGTCCATAGCCACAATCTCTAGTGGTTTTGTCGCTAATAGGTGTCCCGATGGCTGTCTCATTTTGACAACTGGCATTTTCGCATGCTGACACCTCACACAAGCCTCACAATGGCGTTTGACCTCCATTTCCATATTGGGCCAGTAACACCTTCGTCGTAATATTTTGTGCGTCCTGTCCTGACCCTGGTGTCCTGCCCTGTCATGTGCCAACCTTAGCACTTCTTCTCGTAACTGTCCAGGCACCACCACCTGGTGTATTGTCCCATCAATTTGGTCATGAATTCTCCGCATGAGAACACCATCCTCTATACTGAGACGGTCCCACTGACTCAGTATTTTCTTTGTTTCTCGACCAAATTGTTCTCTTTCCCTTCTTCCTGGGAATTTTTGTTCCTGGACGTATTTCAATAGCGGTTGTAAGCCACTATCCGTTCTCTGGGCATCTCTTATCTTTTTGTGATTAAGGCAATTAAAATCACTACTGTCCATATGTCCGGGCTCTGTGGATATGTGCTCCACCCCGGTCTGCCCGTTTTGCATCACTTGTACCCCATGAGGGATATCTGTTGACGCTCTGACCTCACATATTCCTGTCAGCGTTTCTTCCTCATCACCCGGTCTCTCGTAAGGATTCCTTGATAAAGCGTCCGCATTGCCATTGGACCGCCCCGGGCGAAATTTTATCTCCAGGTCAAAGAGTGCCAATTCTGCTGCCCATCTATGTTCGATGGATCCCAACTTTGCTGTCTTTAGGTGACTCAAGGGGTTATTGTCAGTGTATACCACACATTTAGCACCTAATAGATAGTCCCTGAATTTTTCCGTCACAGCCCATTTTAATGTCAAAAGTTCTAGTTTCATGGCGCTGTAATTTGTCATGTTCTTCTCTGATTCCTTCAGAGCTCGACTGGCATAAGCAATAACCCTGAAGCCTTGCTTTTGTTGTTGTGATAGCACAGCTCCCAGACCTTTAGAGCTGGCGTCAATTTCTAGCCGAAATGGTTTGTCAAAGTCTGCATATCCTAATATCGGCGTCTCTGTCAAAGCCTTTTTCAATAGCTTAAACGAGTTCAGGCATTCATCAGTCCATAATTCACCTATCAGTTGTGTTTTGCCTTTCTTTCTCTCCTTACTGTGTTTCTTTGTCATTTTGTTTACCAAGTCATGCAATGGTGCGGCAATTTTTGCAAAACCAGGCACAAATTTTCTATAATAGGAAGCAAAGCCCAAGAATGATCTGACCTCTACCGTAGTTGTTGGCTGTTTCCATTCTTTAACAGCTGCAATTTTATCTGGGTCAGTGGCGATGCCATCCGACGAAATCACATAACCCAAAAAATGTACCGATTTCAGACCAAAGCAGCATTTGTCTGGGTTCAGCTTTACTCCTATCTCCCTAAGACGGAGAAACACTTGTTCTAATCTTTTTAGATGGTCCTCCCAAGTTTTTGAGTAAACTAGTATATCATCCAAGTACACCAACATTATTTGAAATAGAAAGTCACTCATAGCACTCTGCATTACTCGCTGGAATGTAGCAGGTGCATTAGTTAGACCAAACGGCATACGGGTCCACTCGTACAGTCCCAGTGGAGAAATAAATGCAGTCTTATGTTGATCGTTGGGGTGCATGGCCACTTGGTGGTAGCCACTAGCCAAATCCAAGGTAGAAAAAAATCTTGCTCCCCCCAACGCATCAAGACATTCATCAATACGAGGCAAGGGGAATGCATCCCTTCTTGTGATATTGTTCAATTTCCGGTAATCACAACACAGTCTTATCTCCCCTGACTTCTTTTTTACCACTACTATCGGTGCCGCATACGGGCTTGTACTGGTTGTAATAATTCCCTTTTTTAGTAGATCATTCAGGTGTGCTTTCACCGCCGAGTAGTGACTTGGCGGTAATCTTCGGTAGGGTTGCGCCACCGGCTTGTCTTGTAGTAAGGGTATCTGGTGTTTGATTACTTCCGTGTACCCCAAATCACCCTCATACGAGGCAAATATATCACTGTATTTATTCAGCAATTCATTTAGTTTTGGGTCCTCAGTTTCCGGGAATGTATATGATCGGCCATCCTCTTTCTTCACCTCGGCCGTCACATTGACCGACCTAATTGTTACTTCATTACTGCTGGTATTGCTCAGTTCGATGCACTGTGCCGACCTTAGTACCTCGACGTTCTGTGGTACTCCTACCAGAGTATTAGGCGGTATAAAAATTTCCTCATCCAAAACATTAGCTACCAACCCTTGAACTAGTCCGTTTTCCGCTGATGTGTATGTCCGCAGTAACACGACGCCTGCCCTCAGTGCGGCGCCACATGGTTCTATCATCACATCACCATTCACGCTTCTATCACCAATTTGTAATGTGATTGCCTTGACCGTGTTTGCCGGGACTGATATCCTTCCTCTGGTCTTGGCAAACCTGGCCAACTTGGATCCCCGACCTGGTGTGGTCGATCCGACAATATTTGTAAGAAATTCTGGCAACTGGCCAAGAATATTCATGCCCAACAGGCAAGGTATATTTGACACATTTGTCTCTAGGTTGTGTTTCGTAACGAACACCCCAACCTGCTTCAACCTATGTCCTGCCACCACGACATCCGCCAGAAAATAACCACAGTATGGAATGGTTAGTCCATTAGCTGCCGTCAGGCGCATGCACGTGTCAGACCTCAACCTATGGTCTTTTCCTTTCATCCATTTGGTGTAAAAATTTTCCGTGATTGTCGTCACCTGGGAGCCTGTATCCACAATTGCCTTCACCGCGATGTCCCCAATCGTAATCACCATTTCGGGACAGACTCCCATCATTTTGTTTCTTGGGCCATAACCTCGCCCCTCTGTAGCCTGACCCTGCCTTACAGAGGACGACCGTTTCCCTGGCAGTACCGTGCCATGTGTCCGGGTTGTGAACAGGACAAGCAAATTGGTCGACCGTCGGCCGTCCATTGGAGTGATGGCTTGGCAGGACGCGGCCGTCCAACCCGTCTCTGTATTGTCCCGTTCTTTTCCTGATTCTCAGCTGTTGACCTGCTTTCTAACCTCTCCAAACGTTGGTCAACCTTATCTAGGTGGGCCAACAGTTGAGCCATCATGGTTTCCATCGTGTCGGCCCCTGTGGGTGGGGATTGTCTCTGTTCAGGCACAGAGACTTTGTCCACCGAACAGTTCGATTGGTCCTCATCCTCGGACCTGCGGATCGCTGAGTTCCTGACCTGAAGGAAGGTCAACTGCGGGTCTTTGTGGACCTCCTCTTTCAACTCTCTTCTTAGGATCGGGGTTGCTAGCCCCTCGATGAAATGGTCCCTCAGTAGGCGCACATCAATGTCAGGTGTTTTGACCTTTACCGAATCAAAGGCCCTGTTCATCCGGTGTGAGTACTCCATCACACTCTCCGCCATTCTCTGCCTTAAGCCTACGAACCCTGCCAGCAGTTGCGATCCCGACCGTCTCTCCCCAAAGGTCTCCATAATCAGATCCAGCACCTTATCTGGATCTGATTGGATGGTTTTATCGTGGCATTTGACCTCTGCCCTAACCGTCTCTCCTATACTGCCCATCAGCAGTCTTAATCTTTCCTCTGGTGACATGCCTCTCGAGGCCCAGGCCGCTTTGACCTCTTCACTGAACCTGTTGGTTAAAGTTGGATCACCGTCCCCGTAAAATTTGTTAATGTGGGACTCTCTGGGTAGGACCACTATATGGGTCTGCTTCTCGTCCAGAGTAGACATTTTATTCCGTAAGTAACAAAAAAAGAGTTCTTTCTTACCGTGTGTGTATGAAAAATTTTTCTCGTTCCTCAATTTTCACAGTTCCTGAATGTCCGAATTCACACACACACTAAACACAGTTATGCACAAGGTTGACTATGGGTGCCTAAAGCGGCAAGTCTAGTTGAATTCATCCTGTCCGACGACGCCAATTGTAACGAGCGAACAGTTACCCTGCTCGCAACGCCACATGTTACGAGACTATTTGCCTGTAGTGCCAAATGTAACGAGTTTAACCACTCATGCTACACAACATCGACTACAGTAGAAATACTCGAAGATGCAGGTTCGCTATTGATCCTTTTATTACATGAATCAAGAAATGCTTCAATATAACACCATGAATCAACAGGAATGCTTCACAATAATAGTCTGAATCAACTGACCCCTAACAGTCCTCACTAGGCTTCATATAACTGAATCCACATGTCTATTGTCCTTCTTAACACAATATAACCAACTTGATATGTCACACAGACTGACTGATCTAAAGCGAGCGATGAAGAGAGCGGGCGATCAAAAAGGGAAGAGCAGCGAGTTCAGCCGTCCCCTCCTATTTATCCCTTGTATTCGTACTCGTATTCGTACTTGTATTCCTCCGTAATCGATACTTGTACTCGATGTCTCCGACTACTAGTTGCGCAGTTCTAACGTACAGTCCGTTTAATAAAACATCTGCGTCCTATCAATCAAAGTTGACAGGCCGTCTGAATCCCCTCGTACCGTTTCCCAAAATAGCACGCGTTGGCTTTGAGATTGTTATCATTCCGATCTAATAAGCCACCTGCTATCAGTTGCATCAGACTGTAATACTGCGTCTCGGCTTATCGTTCGTTATCAGTTGCATCAGATTTGTAACTAGTAGCTAGGCCTACCCTAGTTACATATATATATATATATATATATATATATATATATATAGGCTTACATCAATTATCTACATTACATACACGTTGCTATAGTGATATCGTGTATATATAGTTTGTGGATGGCTGAACTACTAAACCCAATCAGCTACCAACAATGTCTGCCTATGCATCACGTTTGACCATACGATCATATTATCTAAAAAAAATGTAACGTTTTTGTTTCGTATTTACCAGGAGCAAGATTCGAACTACTTCGAACGTTTCCAGGGCACCATAAATGCCCCTTACCAGGTGGACTACCAGCTGGAGAGTGTGGGGGAGTCCCCACCCCCCGCCGGGCACGACTCGTCCTACATAGAAACGGATGGTGATGTCTGTTTCTCCTCCATCATGGGCACCTATAAGGTAGACGACAGGTGAGGCTCTACACAAGTATTATAATAACTAAGAAAATGTATTTAAGGGGAGATAATTTACATTTTTTTTTAAAATTGTCGTTTTGAAAATAAATGAAAAATATTTCAGGGGAGACAACGTATTTTAAAATAATAATACTTTTCACGCTAATGTGTTTTAGAAATATAGTGGCGTCCCCTGAATTTTGATTCAGTGAGAATGATTTAATTAATATGAGCAAAACAACATATTATAGAGAAGCAAAATAAAGAATATAATAAATATTGCAGTTAAAATCATGCATAGATGATCGCTAATTATCAGTGCGATATATTAAATGGATTCCCGTAATAAAGTCGGTAAGGTTGTTCAGAAAAAATTACAGCGAGAATCACAGGTACGGTGACCAGAAAGATGCGCAACGGAAAAAAGCGCAACGGAAAAAAGCGCAACGGAAAAAAGCGCAAAAAAAATGCGCCACGGAAAAAAGCGCAAATAGAAAAACGCGCACACAGAAAAAAAAAACGCACACAGAAAAAAGCGCAACCAGAAATATGCGCAGACAGAAATATGCGCAACCAGAAAAATACGCAAACAGAAAAAAGCGCACATAGAAAAATGCGAACACAATAAAAAACTTTTTTCCGTTGAGCATCTTTCTGAGAACCCATAGGTACAGTGAGCACGGACTTTCAGACCCTAACTTTAACCCCCTCCTCCCCAGACTCGCCCCCAAGTGTACAGTCAGCATGGACTGCTACACCATGATGACCAGGAACGGCCTGAAGGGCTACGCCGTCACGCACGAGCTGTTGTACTACATCTTCGTCCAGCAGGTGGGTCACGTGATGGGTGAATGTGAGGGACGGAGGGGGGGGGGGGAGATTCGTGTTTGAGCCGGCTATCTGTGTGATCATTTATTCAGTGTGATCAGCCGGCAGTATGTTGTGATCAGCCGGCAGTATGTTGTGATTAGCCGGTTGTATGCTGTGATTAGCCGGCTGTATTTTGTGATTAGCCGGTCTTATTTTGTTATCAGACGGTCGTATGTAGTCATTAGCCGGCTTCATGTTGTGATTAACCGGCTGTATATTTTGATTAGCCGGCTGTATGTTTTGATTAGCCGGCTGTATATTTTGATTAGCCGGCTGTATGTTTTGATTAGCCGGCCGTATGTTGTGATTAGCCGGCTGTATGTTGTGATTAGCCGGTTGTATGTTGTGATTAGCCGGCAGTATGTTGTGATTAGCCGGCAGTATGTTGTGATTAGCCGGCTGTATGTTGTGATTAGCCGGTTGTATGTTGTGATTAGCCGGCCGTATGTTGTGATTAGCCGGTTTTATGTTGTGATTAGCCGGCCGTATGTTGTGATTAGCCGGCCGTATGTTTTGATTAGCCGGTTATTCTCTAAGATCATTTAGTCGGCTAAGAGATCAAATATTTTAAATGATGACAAGTCTGTGTATTTGTATGTGTGTGTATATATTTGTGTGCTTGTGTTTGTGTATGAGTGGTTAGATAAATGTACAACAATAAACCTAGAGTGCGCATGTGCATGCATACGTATGTTTGCATATGTGTGCGTTTGTGTGTGCGTTTGTGTGCTGTATATTTGTGTCTGTTAGTGTTTGTGTGTATGTATGTGTGTTAGTGTTTGTGTGTGTATGTATGTGTGTTATTGTTAGTGTTAGTGCTTGTGTTTGTATTTGTGTGTGTATCATTGTGGCTAAGCACTTGAGCGTGTGTGTACTTATGTTTCCTTATGTGTTGGTGTACATGATATATGCTTGTGTATGTGTGTTTTATTAGTCATGATGAAAACCTGTTTTTCCTAACCTCTCATCAAATGAAAACCTGTTTTTCAAACCTCTCATCAAATGAAAACCTGTTTTTCAAACCTCTCATCAAATGAAAACCTGTTTTTCAAACCTCTCATCAAATGAAAACCTGTTTTTCAAACCTCTCATCAAATGAAAACCTGTTTTTCAAACCTCTCATTAAATAAAAAAAAATATATTTTCCCAACCTCTCATCAGACGAAACCTGTTTCCCAACTTCTCTACGTGAAAACCTGTTCTCCCAACCTCTCATCACAACTTAGTCCACTCCATTCATCTTCGTCATTCCTGACATTTTCCAGACCATTCATTCATACCGTCTCTCTCTTCTCTATCTCTCTCTCCTACTTTCTCCTATACACTCTCCTCACAAATTAATAATCAAACGTCGCTCGCTAATTTAACCTCCCCTTTCTATACTAACCATCAATTTACAAAATCCAATTACTAATTTAGTAATGACTTTCCACTCCACTCAACCTCGGCCTTTTAATCCAAACACTAGTTGGCCTACAGACTTCATATAAGGGTTCTAATTTTTTTATTTAAATGCAGCTCAAAGAACGGTAATGAACTGTGTACCAAGGGGATACGCATGCTTTTATGCGGAGTGGCCTCCCGTTAAGGGGAATCCCCTAGGATAAACCATAGCAAGGGGAACGCAGAATGGCAAAAATAAATGGGGCGGTGTGGCTAAAAATAGATTAACTAAATTATGACGTTGCGCAATGGAGGCAAAGGTCATGGTTTTATTTGAATTTTTTTTTTAAATACCGTTTTCTATGTTATGGTTAGGAAATTTATAATTATGTTAGGTGTATCAGGAAATAATTGATGCATAAGATTTTTTTTTAATCATCACCAATCTAGTTTATAACAGACTTACTAATGAAAAGAATTAATTAGTAAAAGCCAAAATGTAAATAAAAAAGTAAAGATAAATAGATAAGCAATGTAAAACAGTAAGGTTACCTGACGGTCAATAGGGTAGATGAAGTAGAGTTAACCTGTTACCGGGTTATGTTGTTAGATCTTTGCCCAGCCGCCTTAATCTTTTGTACCAGGTACAATTTAGAGTTGAGTTTTCTCAACGACATCCAACGTCATCAAGCCTATGATCCGAACCCTAGCCTTTGGTGTTACTAATTGAGTGTTCTACCACTCGACCACGCTGACCCATTTAGATGGTGTGGTTTGAAATTTTTTTAAAATATTAATTAATTAAACAACTAATTAGTGCTGGCGTCTGAAGCTATTCATCATTTAACGCACTCTCTGCCCTAAGATTATTATTTTTTCTTAGCGAAGAAATGTTTTTTCTTCCTTAAAGAAAAAAAAATATCTAAGATAAAATCTGATTAGCGTGTTGTGTTAAGATAGGATGGTTTTTGACAAGGACGGTCTAGGGTCGCCAGCTATATGGGACTTGTCGGATCAGTCGGGGGGGGGGGGGGGGGGTCAGCCAGAGGGGTCAATCAGGGGGGTCAGGCAGGGGATCAGATGTGGGTAAAAGCCTGCACTCGATGAACTCTTTTTGTCTCGTGTTTGGTTGTTATGGGATATTAGACACTGGGATAACGGACACTGGGATAACGGACACTGGGATACCGGACTCTGGGATAACGGACACTGGGATAACGGACACTGGGATAACGGACACTGGGATACCGGACACTGGGATATCAGAATCTGGGATATCAGACACTGGGATATCAGACACTGGAATATCAGACACTGGGATATTAGACAATGGGATACCGGACACTGGGATAACGGACACTGGGATAACGGACACTGGGATACCGGACACTGGGATAACGGACACTGGGATAACGGACTTTGGGATACCGGACACTGGGATATCAGACTCTGGGATATCAGAAACTGGGATACCGGACACTGGGATAACGGACACTGGGATAACGGACACTGGGATAACGGACACTGGGATAACGGACACTGGGATAACGGACACTGGGATAACGGACACTGGGATAACGGACACTGGGATAACGGACACTGGGATAACGGACACAGGGATAACGGACACTGGTATAACGGACTCTGGGATACTGGATTAGACACTGAAATAATGGATTTGACATCGGGTTACCTGAGAGCAAGATACCGGACCGGACACCGGGATAGCGGACCGGATACCGGACACCATGACAGTGGATACCCTGATATCGGACCGGACCCGGAATAATGGACTAGACACTAGGATAGTTGTAAAAAATGTTTAAATGTAACCGTCCCATCACGCGAATGCATGCTGTGTAGCCCTTGTTTCGTTTAAAAATTGTAAACATTAGAAGAGTACCGGGACTTTGAGTAGTTGAGATTCATTTTAAATTCAGGAGAAGATAATTCTACTGAACTTTGATCATGGAGTAACTGCTCTTTACAGTTCAAACTTTCTTTTTTTATATATTTGTTCTATTTTAACGATGTGTTTAATGATACTGACGACAAAAAAAATGTAAATTTTTTTTACAAAAAATTTCATCTAAATTATTAAAGCTACAAACGGATAAAATATATTGACGCCGATATCAGATATCTTATTTCATCTTGCCGAAAAGAAAGATCGTGCTTTGTGGGTGGTGTTTTTTAAAGTCTACATCAAGTGTTATTTAATTCCAATGTAAATAGATACATACAAAAATATAATTTTTATTCTGTTTAAAATAAACCTGCATGCTGCACAGTGGGGTTGTTTAAGATTTGACTTAAGTCATCCCGTTTGTTTTTCTTTGACTTCTGACTTTGAGGCTAACCATAATCGAAGCCAGTTTTAGCTAGATTCAGCTTCAAACAAAAATATTTCAATTTTTTTCATTAGCTAACGTAAAGTGAGTGGACTCTAAATTTTAAAAGAAATCGCACCCATTCTTCAATTTAATCATTGATCCGCCTCTGGTTCGTTTTCTTTTTAAAGCACACAAGCTATCTAAGGAAGTAAGACGCCAATATTTATAAATTTAGACTAAAGAAATTATAAACGACGATATTATAATACCCATTGTCCGGTGCGATTCATTCTTATATTATACATTATCAAGTCCTACATTTTCTCGTTCAAAATCTTTCTACCTAATATAACATAATCCATCTATCCAATATCCTTAACCTAAACATTACTCAACTAATTAACATCGTATTTAAACTAATCCACATACCATCTACATTTCACACCTTAAACCTCATCATATTCGAACCACACCTTTTATCATACCTTTCCACCCTTTTTATGACACCCCATTCACCCCTCTGATCAAACCCCATCCACCCATTTTATCACACCCTTTCCACCCCTTTTATCACACCTCTTCCACCCCTTTTATCACACCCCTTCCACCCCTTTTTATAACACCCCTTCCACCCTCTTTATCACACCCTTTCCATCCCCAATAATCACACCTCATTTACCCCTTTTTATCACACCCCATCCACCCCTTTAATAACACCCCATCCACCCCTTTAATAACACCCCATCCACCCCTTTAATAACACCCCATCCACCCCTTTAATAACACCCCATCCACCCCTTTAATAACACCCCATCCACCCCTTTAATAACACCCCATCCACCCATTTAATAACACCCCATCCACCCCTTTAATAACACCCCATCCACCCCTTTAATAACACCCCATCCACCCCTTTAATAACACTCCATCCACCCCTTTAATAACACCACTTCCACCCCTTTGATCACACCCCTTCCACACCTCTCATAAAACTCCACCCCACACCTCTAACCACACCCCTTCCACCCCACAGGCAGGATGCACCTCTGCCTTCAACGAGCTATTGGCGAAAACAAACGGCACAACAGTTCGGGAATTCCAGAAGAAACTTTGTGGATCTATTTATAGCGAAGCTTTAGAGGAAGTCGTCAATGGTTACGTGCCGGAGTTAAAACAAGATCTATTTTTAGAACAGAGTAAGTACAGTTCACTGTGATTGTTGTTAAATCATGTATATAATCCATTATATTAACAAGCGTTGAAATACACTAAATATAAGAATAAAATACTTAAAAAAAACTTTTTAAAAAACCACGTTTTTCTTGTGGACTAAAAAGTAGAAAATAACTATTTACATACATTTGATGACAAAAAAAACGTGGGTACGTTCACCATCAAATTTCCCGACCCATCTGCCCGACCCACGTTTTTTGTCATCAAATGTATGTAAATAGTTATTTTCTACTTTTTAGTCCACAAGAAAAACGTGGTTTTTTAAAAAGTTTTTTTTAAGTATTTTATTTTCTCCTTTTTAGTCCGTTGCTACACATGAAAAACGTGGTTTTTAAAAAAAAATTTATATAGTTTATTTTCTACTTTATCTAATCACTTGATTAAGTATGACTTGACTAAGTGTTTTTAAATACACGGACTAAAAAAATCTTGAGCGACCAATACGCTTTAAACAGAGAAAGGGTGTAATTTACGTTGCTGGCGTGGAGATCTACTCACGAATCACGTGATCAAATCTCCCATAAACAAACAAATAAACGCGAAGCTGAGTTAAGGAAAAACGTGTTTATGTGTATTTTAGCATGCCCAGCGTACCAACCGTGTCACCGTTAACAATGTGTTACCGTGTCCGTTCTCCTTTTTAGTCCGTTGCTACACATAAAAAACGTGTTTTTTTAAAAAGTTTTTTTTAAGTATTTTATTTTCTCCTTTTTAGTCCGTTGCTACACATGAAAAACGTGGTTTTTAAAAAAGTGTTTATAAATACACGGACTAAATATCTTGAGCGACCAGGATTCGAACCTGGGTTGTCGCGGCCACAACGCGAAGTACTAACCACTATACGATCACGGCCAGCGCGCTCACATCGATTGGGGCCGAAGTAACTGTGTCAATAGGCCTCCAGTCTTGTCGGTATCTTTAGAAATCATGTCCTCAATTTTATGGTCCTTGGGGCGTAATTAAATTAAGCTAATTACGGTCACTAATTGCTAGTTTTTATGATTGCATCTGAAATTGTTAGGCGAAAGTAGCATGCATGCCAAATTTCAGGTCTCTAGAGCAATCAGAAGTGGGCTAATTTTCGATGTCAATTTTAACAACAAACATCCAAACAACCAAACAAACAAACAAACGCGAAGCTGAGTTAAGAAAAACGTTTTAATAAAATGAAAAAAATATTTACTACAATAACTAGAATATTTTTTTTACTGTAGAAACCTAATCAATCAAGACGTTTGGGTACTTTAAAAGTTCATAACAGCATTTTTTACCCCTAATTTTTAGCATTTAGATACTGTAAAAATTTAATAGTAAGACACTAATATCTCATTTGATTTAAGCACATTACATCTACTGCTATATTTGGACAGCATAGAATGCATACATCATGTTTACTTAATTTTTAAATCAATGTTTGTATTAGAAAGTTTGCAGATCAGATAGTAAATTGTCTGAAAACTAGACTGCAAATAAGTTAGAAGCATTCCATTATAATACTTTGACACACGTGTTAAAGAACACCCCTCCACTCGTTACAAAAGTAGGCCCTATATATTAGAAGCGACACTTTGGCCTACTAATGTTATAAGTTTATCTTCTCTGAAATATATATATATATATATATATAAATAAACGATCCCGACGGGTCACGGTGGTCGGGTCGTAAGATCATTGTTGCTAAACTTAAAAGTCCCGGGTTTGAACCCCCGGGCAGATGAGGCTCGATAGTTGGGGACATAAACCAATCTTAGACAATCTTAGACAACTCCAAAATCAAACAACTGCTTTCTTGTAGTTTTTTCTTGGTTAAAAAAAGGCTATGGAAGCAAATCCAGAAAGAAAAGTAGGCTGAAATGTTGACACCTATACTTAATTGTGTTGGAGGAAATCCATTCCAACATTGCATTAAGAACAAAGTTCTTTTCATACTTTCTTATTAAATGTTTACATTTTATTTTTGTATCAACAAACTACGCTCATTTAAAAACAATTTCGCATCAGTTACACAAACAAATAGGTAAAAATTAGCTTACTTGTAGAATTATAACAACAAAGACAATGTTATCGCGTGCCAAAACATATTAACTGTAAACCCCAGCTCACGAAACTATAACATGCTTGTAAGGGGAGATAAGTCGCTTGTGTGGCGTGTGATAATGACGACAAAGCTAGGATATTGTCACTTTATCCTGACACGCTATTTACCTGTGTGTTTTGACGACTGAGTAGTTTTTATGGTGTGTACGGTAAATGAATTTCCTTATGATTTTATTAGAGTTTCGCATTTTATGCTAAGATAAAAAAATTACGTTAAATTAAATTCGAAATTCATTTAAGTTATATTCACCCCCCCCCCCTCCCCTTATTCTTAACATAAAATCCAGCTTAGGGGTCGTCCATAAATGACGTCACACTCGTAAGGGGGAGGACGGGGGGGGGGTCGGTAATTTTGTGACGATGTATGATGAGGGGGAGGGGGGTTCAGATGGTGCGACGTCACACTTTTGCTTTATAGATATCTAATGTTAGATAACTAATTTTAGACGTTATTTAGCGTTTTAGAAAACAGTTTTAATAAATTATAATAGGAATTGATTAAAAATACTCAATTTTGACATATGTCAGACAAGATTTTGGAAAAATATCGATGTTTAAAAAAAAAATTCAACTGCAATTTTGAGGGGGGTTGTAGGCTGAGGTGTGACGTCATTTAAGGAGGGGGGGGTCTGGCTTTTTGTGACGACGTGTGACGGAGGGGAGGGGGGAGGTAAAAATCGTCAAAAAAAGCGTGACGTTATTTATGGATGACCCCTTACGCCTCAAGTCACAATACAATAGAGACGACACAAATTGAAATTGAATTTAAATTTTGTGTTTTAAAAATGAATTGAATTTTTTTGGGTTTGGTTTCAGGCGTGCTGTGCGGTGTGCTAGGGTTCAAAGAGTTTTTCAAAACGATATAATTAAAAAAAAATTCATAAAAAACGTTTTAATAACAAGCTTTTATGGGATGATGCACTAAAAAGTAGAAAATAAATTATACACTACTATTTAAATTACTATAAAGAAAAGCGTGGGTCACTTTAGTACTTTAGTACCTATTGGATACCTTTACTAATATTTGAGAAGAGACCCATGCTTTTCTTTATAGTAATTTAAATAGTAGTGTATAATTTATTTTCTACTTTTTAGTGCATCATTACATAAAAGCTTGTAATAAAACGTTTTTTATGAAAAAAAATTTCAGTACTTTACATGTTTTATTTACAATAGTGTTACATGACTAAAAATCATTGCGCGTCTATTGAACGTGATGGTGCAGCTATTAAACCTAATGGCGCAGCTATTGAACGTGATGACGCGTGTGGTGTGGTTGGATAGACATGTCTACTAATTCGGTCCAAATTTTAATTAATTCATAAAAAATTAATTAGGCATCCAATTAAGTCAAATTTAGTTTCAGATTGCATTGTCTTCATGTCTTGACCCACGTGCCAAATGTGAATCGTATCGGTCAAGTAGAAGTTTCCGAATTTTCACTCCGGCGTTTCGATCTAGACTGACGACAGACAGACTGTCGAGGAAGTGAGTTAAATAAAAGCTTGTAAAAATGAATATAAATTTTGTATTTCTTTCAGGCGTGCTGTGCGGTGTGCTAGGGTTCAAAGAGTTTTTCAAACCCGATTGGATCCGCATGACCGTCGGGTGGCAGAACTATCGGGGCTGCTGGGGTCTGCCCGGGCAGATGATGCAGGTCGAGTCGGACCTGACCGAGCTCCAGAACGACGAGAGGAAGCTTCTAGAACTGCTGACGCACGAGGCTGATTATATGTAGGTGGTGGGTGGGGGTGGGGGGGGGGGGTTTATTGGTGTGGTGGTGGGTGGGGTGGGGGGTTTATTGGTGTGATGATGGGTGGGGTGGGGGTTTATTGGTGTGGGGTGGGTGGGGGTTGGTGGGGTGGGAGGTTTATTGGTGTGGTGGTGGATTGGTTTTGGTGGATGCGCGTTGGCGGGGGGGGGGGGGGGGTGACTGGTGGCGTGGTGTTATTGTGGTGGCTGACATTAATCCATGCATTGTAAATGAAAAAAAATTAACGACATAATTAATTTCTAACAGTGACCACTCGACGTCCAGGAAATTAATGAGAGAAAGAATTATGCATGGTGAGTTATCGGTCCTTTTCATTTATTTTATTAGCACAAAAAAATGTTAATTTTAAGTTACTGTTGAATTATGTTTAAAAATCATATACTTTAATTTATCAAAATTTGTTTACCAATAGAAAAAAAAACTAATCGCCGAATTTATTCAATTTTTTAGAATTTGTTCTATTGTTATCATAAAAATATAGTTATCTCCCTTTACATTCTCTCCCATTTCTTTAGGTGATTGTCTATCGCATAAAACGGGTCTTGCCATTGGTACACTAGGAACATATCTACGCTTTCTAGTTTCTCAAGTTAACAGCTAATAAATAATGTTATAGGAATACTCAACACACAAGCAAATATGTTATTAAAATGATATTATTCCACCACAAAGATGTTTATGTTTTATTAATAAATTATGACATGTTTTTTTTTAATGTATTAAGTTTTTTTTATCCTTTTGTTTTATGTTACAAGTGGAATTTGTGATCCTGTTTTTTTTTAAATTTAAAAACATGACGTTTCTGTTTTCATGTGCTGTTTTTAGTGGGGGAGGAGGTGGGATAGAAGAGGGGGAGGGGGGAAAAGGGAGGCATGAAAGGACCTCACCCACTAGGAGGATTTTGGGATAGCAGGTACCCTTGTGGTTTACGAGGCAGAGGAAGTAGAGTCCGCCTGTTTCTTTGACCCCGTCAATATGAAGGGATGTCAGTCTTGCCCTCTACCGTCAGCTAACGGGGTCCAACGGGTGGGGGGGGGGGGGGGGTGGGGGGGGGGGGAGTTTGCGTTTCTGTAGCGATTAATTTGTTTTACGATATAAGGTTGCTGACCTTATGCTCAACCCCCAACCTGGAGGACCAGGGTGCTGGCTTTGGGGGGGGGGGGGGGGGGAAGGGGGAGACTGATTTTTTTTTAACGATCGGTAGAGTATATGGGAGGGTGGAGGGGGGGGGGGTTAAGAAACATGACGAAAGATAATAAACATATGTTGATACCTAATTATTTGTGTGAATTAATGTTATTTTAATTTTTAAAAATTAGGGGGAGAGGACAGGGGTCTAAAAATATGTTGGTATGTGTGTTATGATACAAAAATATTTAAATGGGGTAACGAGTTGATTTGAAAGTGTTATTGTTTGTGTAAAAAAAATGTACACATTTTTTCTACTTGATACATGTGTACAACGTGCGTGTTCCTGCATTGGTTACTGATCAGTACAATTCTTATCAGAAACATAACAAAAACAAAAAGACTCCTCTTTAGACCTAGCGATCTAATGGGCAGATAAAGTAGAGTTCATATGTTTCGTGACCTCGGCGTATGAAAGGAAAAGTGTGGTCAATACTCTACCCAGCCGCCTTTACTTTTGCTAACGTGAGTTAGGTACCCATCAGACCTGGGTGGACTCATGGACGTTTAACTGACGAACCCGGATTCGAACTCGAGACTAGAAACATAATGTTTGTGGTAAAAGAGGGTAAATTTAAAATTTAAAAAATTAAAAATCTTATAAAGTACAGGAAGTTTAATTTTTTAAATTCGTGTATGTGATGAATTGTGGTAAGCTGCGAATTAGATCTAGTAATTTAGATCTAAGCAGTCAGCATAACCGTTTCTATGCGATTACTTCCCATTTGAACAAATTAACAATAAAATTTATTCAAGGGAGATAACGATACATGCAATAGAAAAACCTAAACGAAAGAGAACAAAAGTCAAGGTAAAAATAACATATAAAAATGTTCATTATGATTAGTTTAGTCATAAATTACTTCATTTAGTATTACAATGACTTTGCATTAATGGATTAAATTCTAAAGAGCGTCGGGCTATAACTATACTGTAGACACAAATAACAACATGTCCGCTTTTTTCTATCATTTGACTTACAATTACGTATGATTTTCTGGAAGAAACCACTTGTTAAGTGTAAAATTTTGGATCCCTTGTCTCAAGGGACAACACAATTTAGTTAATTTGATATCGTCTGCGCCGGGGGTCGGCAACCTCTTCAGACGGAATAACCAAAAGTTGCAGTTTACAAAATTTCCCAGTATTTATTTCAATATTGTGATATTTTATTTGGATTATATATATATATATATATATATATATATATATATATATATATATATATATATATATATATATATATATATATATATATATACAATATTTCTACCAGAATTTTTTCTCCGAAGTAGGGGTTGGGGGAGGGGGTGGGTTGGATTGGGTTGGGTTGGGTTGGAAAGGGGGGGGGGGGCACTTATAATTTTCGCGGGGGACGGACTAAAATTTCCGACGGGGCGGACACTGTTAAAAGTATATATTTTCTTTATAAATTCCATTTCGTACAGGGGGGGGGTGAAGGAAGCAGAGCCCTCCCAAGAATTGCAATGAAGAAACACTTGTTGGCTTATTTACTTTTTACTTTATTCATGGAAGAAAACGCTTGCTCGCATGAATATAGTGACCCGAAGATCGTCAGCACTCCTAATGCCAACTCCTTTACCTCACTGTAGTATCCTCAACTCGAGGCATTTATTTTAGTGCTTTCCAGTTGTGCAGCGAAACGTGCATGTTTTTCTGGACCTCCAAATCTCCTAATTTTCTTCTGAGTTCCGTGTACTTACCACTCCACAAATGTTTGGTTTTCAAATCAAGCCATTTCATTTGAAGGGAACCAGCATCAATTCTAAATGGCTCAATGTTGATCTCATTTGTTTTCGTGTTAAGAGGATCTACTATGAACGTCAAAGTGTACATGCATTTGTTTTGTATTGCTAAAATCACTCAGGAATCCATCCTTCATTTTGTTTATTTTAATGCTGAAGTAATTCATGTTAAAAGTAGCATTGGTTTCATTTTTTTTCAAATTTATCGAAATCAAGTAATTATCGCTCTCTGTGTCTTCAACACAATTAAAAGTATTTTTTTTCGAAACAATCAACTTTTTCAAGCAAGGCATGGGCTGGGGTTTCCTTTCCTTGCAGTTTTACATTAAGCTCGTTTAGTTTCATTGTAATATCCACCATGAAGTTGAATTTTTCAATTCAGGATAGACAATTTAATAGAAAGTACATTGAAATGGGGAGTAAATAAATATTTGAATGGAAAAGCGAGTGTTTATTGTTTATATTTATTATTATATTGTTCATCACCGAATGTTGCAGAACAATATTTTTAAAAGTTTCGAAAATAAAACAATCATTAATATGTGTGCATGGAGCTGAAGAGCCGCATCATGACATCAAGAGAGCCGCATGCGGCTCGCGAGCCGCAGGTTGCCGACCCCTGCTCTACGCTATTGATTCAATTAAAAAGATGCAAAATTAATATTTCTATTTCTACAGGAGTAGCCAGGAATTGGTCATGGTGAATGGTCAAAAATGTAATTAATATTAACAGTGAAACTCACCATACTCTCGACATGATCGCTCAGCTCCTATGGGTTGTAACTTCCGAACGGAGGGGGGAAGATAAAGGGTTGATTCGAAATTAATAAGCGCGCTTGAACTGGAAAGAAGGGGGGTGGGGTGTCACCTCGCTGAGAACGTCCACACGTGAAATAAAATAACTCTTTTATGTTATATCATACAAAAATCATGTAATCTGCACACGAAAAAAATGTGCTGGTCTGCATTTAATTGTAGACCTGCAATTTTTTTTTTTTTTTTAGAGTGAAAACAAAGGCCGATTTAATAATGATTTTTAAAAATGCTGCATTTGAATTTCATATCATCGTGTTTACTTAGGCCTGACCTATGTGATGAATGAAAGCAGCAATATTATTATGTCTAGAACCCGACAATGTCTGACGATTTTTTAATCTAGATCTAGTACTCCGTACGACAAAAATAAATTATTTCTACAAGCTTTTACTTAATTCACAACGTCCGTTTGTCGGTTTGTCGCAAATTTTGACCCAGTTCTAATGCAGCAATTTCGTTCAAATTTTCTGATACATTTGTCTTCAATGACAATGCACAAAAATAGAGAAAGTATTGTAAGCGTGCAAAAAATCGAAATCGACGTTTTTAACCTCCTTGTGTTGGAAAAACATAGTTTTGCAATTTTGTCCGTATGTCTGTGTGTGTATCTGTCTGTGCGGATATGTGTCTGTGAACACAATAACTTGAGTACCGTTACCGCTAGGTTGATGAAATTTCACATATACGTATTCTATCAAATTTGTGGTTCTGTAACAACTTATTTCCGGTAACAGGAGGTGGAACTTATTCTACTTATGGTTTTTCAAAAGCCTTTCACTTGAGTGCTGTTTCAGATAGATAGAGGAAGCTTCACAAATAAATAAAAGATCTAACTATCTGCCTCCTGTCAAATTGAGTAATTCCCGTTTACCGAAAGAAGTTCTTTACGCTATTTCTGATTTCTCAAAAAGGCATATGAATTAATAAAGTACTAATATTCCACACTATTACACACACATTGTTTGATGTTCACTTTTTCCCTACGAGATTCTATTCTATATTAAAAAGTTTAAGTAATAAAACATCGATTAAAAATCATGTCTATTTCCCGAGTTGTCATCCCCTGTAGTGTTGTATAAGTATATTCGAGTAAGTTTAGGGGAGATCACTCCCGCTTTATTAAAATTAAGTAGTGTAATATCACATATTAGGTTTGTTTAAAATGGGGAAAAAACAAACGCTCGTCATGTAATTATATTTTTAAAAGACTATGTTTATTTCACTCAGCGTTTTCAGATTTTTCTGAAAAAACATTCTGAAAACGAATAAATCGGTATATTGACCAATATACTACACGAGCTGACCCGCGGCGTATCATATGCCGCTTTTTAGTTGTTTTATTTTCTACTTTTCAGTACTTCATAGTCAGTGAATTGGATACTACCCTCCCTTCCTTATCTCCCCCCCCCCCTGAAACCGTGAAAGCAGCCATCCGTGACGATAGATTACGGACGACAATGAAAAGATCAAGCAGAACTTCTTACCTCGCTTTAGTTTCAAATGGTTAAAATCTAAATTATCTGCCCCTAATTCGACTCGGCTCTACGATTGTAAACATTCGGGCCAAAATTAACCTTAGCACACCAAAATGGTGGGGGTGGAGGTGGTAGCTATATGCCTAGAAAGCGGGGGAGTAACGGTGTGCGGTGACGTGGTGTTTCGCATGGTCCCCATGAAGAGAATAATATATATATAGATAGTACATAGTACGGTCACATCCACTGATGATCATGACTGATAAAAACTCACCCACAAGACACAGTACCAGGTAAAATAAAACAGGCAACAGAAACAGCGGAAGACAAGACACAAAAAAGGAAGAGGACAAATCCTAAATCTGTGAGGACGTTGTAATGGGTGACTGTGAGGGTGGTGAGAAGAAGAGACCAGTGTTT